ACTGCAGAGTGATGACAATATTCACGTGTTTCTAAATAATATACTTCTTAATTAGTGATTCTTAGAGCTGCTGGTGGAAACTTTATTTTTCCTTTTTTTTACATTTAGTCAGAAAACGCCTGGTTGTTTCTCACTTATGCTTGCAAAAAATAACAACTGGTGATTTAACAGTAGTGAGAGGGTATTAACCTTTTCATCTCACTCTTCACAAGAAAGCAAGTTATCATTATTTCCCAAAATTTCAAACATTTTAACCAAGAGAGGGAAAAATCTATTTATTTAAACACACAGTGCCTTTAAGACGGCTTAATTGCTTATGTAAAGGCAATATATGAAGCTACATTAGGCCTCAGGTACACAGATCTAGAGACTGGTACGTGATAACCACAGATTGCCAGGGTAAACTGTGTATTTTCCGGTTGATAGATTGCTGGTTGGTGGTAGTGTCAGGTGAAATCAGTCACAAAGTGGCACTGCCCCAAAAACCTCATCCAACCTTGCTTTTGTTGCTAGCAGATTGCCACATTCCTCCATTGTTTGGATGCAGAATTATCTGCAAACACTGGGCAACTACCCAGCAAGTGATGGTGAAACAATAGCAATGCGAGCCAGAAACGAAGTCTTTCCCTTCAAAGTTCATGTAAAAGATGGGCCTTGTTGTGCAACAAACACATTTCAAAAGGGACAACTTTTACTTGTTTACCTGGATTTTTTCCCCCACAGAGACAAATATCCTGCTTCTAAATTTGTTGCCTTTTTTTTTCACAGTAGATAATCAGCAGAGAATGGATGGATGGATGGATGGATGGACGTTCCAATACTCATATTGTAATTTGCTTGCGAAAGTGTCCTAATTTTGCAGTTTTCTTGTGCACCATGGTTTTAAGATTTAGTTACAAATCCAGTAAATATGTGTTTTATTTAAAAAGACTGAAAAGAAAGAATTTCATGAGTAAATCATGGCATGAGACTGCATATGTACTGGGTGCTGAACAAGGCATCCTATGAAGTAGGCTTTGGGAGTTTGTTGCCAGTGTAAGTGGATGAGAAAAACCTCTTTTTCTTTTCTTTTTTCCCCAATGATCATAGCTGGCTGAGCCGTAGTTGAACAAACATAGCTTGCATTTTCTGTGCCAGAAATGGCCTCAATCCACAGGACAGTGGGTCACACTTATACATGCGCACAAACACATGAAGACAGATGTTCAAATACTTAACTGACCCAACTCAGACATTATCAGTTCTTCCATGCGGTAGAGTCAAAGCTGTCTAATAGAGGACGGTGGTCATATTTTGATGCCCAACTCCATTTGGGTTAATAAGAGGACTGTAATTAGCTGGGAGGATGGAGAAGGTATATGAACCATGTTAGGAAGCTAAATGGTCCAATTTTCCCAGTCATGTGAATGCCTTTTCCCCACATCACTCTTGGCAGTCAGTGAGGCTAAAAGACACAATTAATCTCCCAAGGCTATTATGGACCCAGAAAATAGATGGGGAAAGCACACTGAGACAGAAAGGGGATATGTAATTTGCTGGGGATCACTGCACGTTGGCTGAAACCAGCTATAATTAAAATAGCAGTCAGCAAAAGTTTGACAATTGTGCTATAATTTGTAATGGGCTAATTAAATTAACACTTCATAAAGGTGCTTTCTAATTATCTTGTAGTTATACTGTTTTGCGTAGCACATACATACAGTGCTAATTTTATTTAGTTCAGTTTAAGTAGCTGGAATATTTTGACAAATTGCAAAGTAACATATAAGGCAAAACCATTTAAATAAACAGTTCCTTCTTAAAAGATTTTAATGTGTTCAGGAGAGGCACTAAAGAGGAACTTGTGGCATCGTCTGAACTCTGCAGTAAGACACCAGAGACGTTCTACAGGCTTTGATAATACCCTGCCTCTGTGTCTGTGTTGATAATACCTCCCTGTCTGTGTCTATAGAACTCATAATTCCTGTTCTGTCAGACTGGCTCTCGGTAACCATTATTTGTCTTTAGTGGCATGAGCTGGATTTGGCAGACCTGTCACTGCATGCACGCTTGCATACTGTTTGCATGTATCAGTATTACACATTCCTTAGGATAGATTCAGATCTGTACCACTGTCTTGATCCTGAGCTGAATAACAAATGAACATCTCTGCCGCCTTCAGCTTTAACTCGCTGATTTCCCTGGGCTGGAATTTCTCCTAATAACCAACTGCCTGCCTCCCTCAACACAGCAGCACTGTCAGAGAATGAAAACTCTGATGCCTCAACAACTTGCATGCTGCTGGATGGAGTTTTTTCTCCAACAGATGGCCATTTGCTCAGGGCAATAACAATATCACTGGAATGAGATAGCAGGAATACTAAGCAGTTATGAATTTGGGTTCATTTTCTGTTAATTTTCTGGTCATGACAAGATGTGTTCCTCAGTCTACTGGGTTGCCATGTTTAGTTTTCCTGTGATACCTGTGGGGTTTTTTCCTTTCTGTGTGCTTATTTGTTATTTTTGGCATGCCAACTACCTCTGTTACTTTAGATCTAGATCTTGGCTGTTTTGGGTCCCATTATTTTCTTCCTCAATTTCACAGTTACCTATCTAATCTCATTTTGCAAGGCAATTCAACCTCAGTCTAAGTAGCAGTCTGAGAGTGACATCTCCCAGACTGTTACGTATTGTCCACAGCCTATTTACATTAAAGCAGACATGACTCTTTAATGAAGTGTATACCATTGTAGTAATCCTCTTTACTTTTAATGTAAAAACACATAAGCTCTAACTGTGTATAGATGCTTTAGTGTATTCTAGAGCTTTGGTTGCTTCACAGCACTGAGCCGCTGTAGTTATCCCCCGACACCAGGCATTACCACTGGCATTCTGCTGTCTGACTCAAAGTTCCAATCGGCCAATGAATACCAAATCAGCGCTTTTAAATACAGCCAGGAATACACTGTCAAAAGGAAAAATGGTTCGCCGCCACCCCCACCAACACTACCCCCTATTCATCTGCAGAGTCACATTTCAAAAAAGGCGCAGGGGTTTCAGCTATTCTCATCTTGAACATCTCCCACAGGTGTGGCCGTAACTCTGTCTCGACACACTCTTGCACTTAAGCCCTGGGATGATATCAAACCAAGATCTTAGCACAGGACAGTATTGCAGTATTTGTTTCACACCCACACACTTAGAGAAGCACACATATGAACTGCTAATCTTGTATTCACCATCATCAACTCTCCAGAATGCACAGATGCGCACAAGCAGAGGCACAAAACCTGAAAGCTACGTACACAAGCGTAGTGTGCTCCCAAGTGAGCCCAGCTAACAGACTGTGGAGAGGGAGGTGCAGTGATGCAGAGACATGGGGCCATACACGGAGCTTCAAGTTCACTGCCTGGGAATTATCACATCAAACTTGTATGCCCAATGGTTCTGACAAGCCCAAGGCCAAACCATTAAAGCCTGGTGTAGACAGAAATTACTTCGCAGGGCTATGACTGGGCAATGACTGCTGTTGTGCACCAGTGATTCACACCAGCCAATAGGAGACCGATTTACACAGGCAACCAGGAAGGAAGTGCTTGTCAAACCAACACAGAGTTAGTGGATATGCTTACTTCATTCACATGCATAGATTAGTTTCATGATGTATTCACACTTTCATCCACTGTGGCATTTTTGAGAATGTGGACTTTGTTCCACAAAACGAATACCGCTGAAATCAGTGTCTTGTTCTATCGGCATATATTTGCATGATATATTCATACAGTAGCTCAGTACACCCTGTAGCACTTGTAGCAGACACTGGAGATATCACGGCTTCAAATAACCATCCTGTTGGAGGAAACTGTTAGCAAGAATGCATTTGAGCCAAATCAAAATTGAAGTGCGAAGAACACATTTATCTCACGGCTACTCTTGCACAATTATAATATTCCAGTTTTACAGAGGAAACATGACTTAATTTGGGAGCATCATTCACTTCCTGTTTTATTCCAAATCTGGGAGCAATCAGACTTAATGATTGGGGGAATGGACAAGAAGAAAAATCCTTCACACCGTCTCAGATTAGAATGTACATCGCTAACATGAAGTATAAAGCAGCTACGGCTAATAATATACCATTAATTCAGTCGCAGGAGATGAACTAAAGGTTAGATTTTCCATTAAGTCACTGGCATGAACTTAGCTGATGAAAGTGGTGGATCAAACACCTGCTTGATACCAACAGCTGTAAATAACTGTTGGTATTAGTTAAATGTCACTCAAAAAGCCACGCCCCTAATTATGTACACCTTATAGAATTCATTTCATTTACATAGCGGGAATTCTAAAATATAAAAAGTGGCAAATGAGCCAGAGGAGGTTGCTGCCTAGCACTAATTAGCTCAAGTACATTTAAATGAACTGTGAAAGTGCCTAACTTGCATTAGCAAAGTTTTGAGCAGTCTGAAACTATAAAAATGTCTTCGTGAAACTGTCCCCATGCGGGCAGGAACATGAAGGCAAAAAGTTCTTCTTTTACATAATTTATTATCAGAGTTCCTCTATAAAAGGGATAATAGGGCGAGAAGATTTTACCAAATTAAATGTGGGGTAAAGCGTATGTTTGTGCCATCCAAGGGGGATTCCTAATGCTATGCAGGTTACAGGACTGGCTTTAATCATGAGAAGGACAGATATGGGTTTCTCTCTAAGCATATATAAGACCCTACAATGACAGAGAAAAAACCCAAACAATCAAATGGCCCTGGATGAGCAAACACTTGCTGACAGTGGGAAGGAAAAACTCTTTTAACAGGAAGAAACCTCCAGCAGGATCAGGCTAAGGGAGGGAGGGACATTCAGTGCAAAGCATTATTAAAATTATTACAATTTCAGTGGTCACCAGGACATACACACTGCTTGTGAAGAATCAGCAGTTGGATAATTCATTGACTACCCATAAAGACTATTTTAAAATGCTGTGTCCACAGGAAACGACAGCTGGCCCTACACTACCCTTTTCTCTGATGCAGAATTCTCTCATATTCAGGTGCCAAGTGTCTTTCTTATATTGTTTATGGTACCAGCAAGTCCGCCCTCGATGCCTGGCAATGTGAGCGCTAGAAAGACATAGGGCGTATAATCCTCCTGTTGTACGCTGTGTGTTTTTTCCACACTTGACCTCATAACGACAACGTCTTGTCACTATGGCAACAACTTTGTGTACTACCCCAGAAACCCGTTAAAAACCGAGATTATTTATTAATTTATTTTTACCCCGATATTGTTCCAAATACCTATACTACAGAGACTCCAAGAGCTTCCATATCCGAGGTAGGTTTCCATTTATGACATCGAGTTTTCAGGAAACAGTTGTCTGAAACATTTTAGCCTCAAAACGATACAGCATCTAAGCTAACTAATTCTCCCCCAGCTCTTTTCTAGATAGTGCAGCTAGTCCGTGTGAGAATAGACTAGCTGCACTATATATATATATATATATATATATATATATATATATATATATATATATATATATATATATCTTATGTAAGACTGCCAAGTTTTCCTGGACAGTTATTAATCAAAGGGATCTGTTGATAAAGTTAACGTAACTGCATGAAACGTTAATGACGGAGAGAGCAGTACTGGTGCCGTCGTGCTGCTCTCATTGTGGTGACAGATGCAGTGGGGTACCAAGCCCACTGCAGGGCTGAGGCGTATGTCTGAAATGTGAAGGGCTGCAGAAGAGAGAGAGAGATGAAAGCCGTGGAGGGAAAGAGACACACAAAGTCAGAGAAAGTCACAGACATTTTTGTCTCACTGACTGAAGGGAATGACAGGGAGAGGAGAGGGACCAAAATGAGAAAGTTACACAGAGATGTACCCTTAGTATTTGATGGAAGAGATACAGACAGGAGATGGGGGCGATGGGGGGGAGGCATGGAGGATGAGAGGATGGGAGAACTTTGTCTAGAGCAAACACCGTGGCTTCTCTTTTATTCTCTCTCATGCTGAGTTTGAAAAAAAAAGTAGTGTTTTAACAGTGAGCTGAGGTAAATGCTGAGATGCATCTCAGGCTTGACATTTCTACTCACTACTTCCTGTGTATTTTTAGAGAGCAAGCGGTGTATTGTGTCTCTGAAACGGGAAGGTAAAATATCTAAAAGGTGACATGAAAAATATTCTAAGCTGTTAAGTCTTAAATGGGCCTAAATCTCACACTTTCTTCCTTCAACACTATCATTATGGAAATTGAGTGTTGCAGAAAGTCATGAGCATTCCTAAGTTTCATGCGTACTATTTGATTTGCAATTTTTTCAATTCCAAAGAAATGATCAGTCTCCAATTTTTATGGTAGTTCCATTTTAATGGAGAGAGACAAAATATCAACCAAAAACACATCACATACAAGTTATGAATTGATTTGCATGTCACTGAGTTAAAAAAAAAAGAAAAAGTATTTGATCTCCCAAGCAATACATCACTTAGTACTTGGTGGAGAAATCACTGTTGGTAAGTACAGCAGTAAGTCGTTTCTTGTAGGTGGTTGCCAGGTTTACACACATCTCAGGAGGTATTTTGGCCCACTAGTCTTTACAGAAGTTAGACCACTCCATGAACTGCTGGAAAACCCATCAATGACTCATATTCAGTGTTCTGGCTGAGGGAAGTAGGTTCTCATCTAACATTTTACAGTACTCCCATCCATTGGCCCTCAGTGCGGTGAAGTTGTCATGAACCAATAGAAGACAAACAGCCCCAAAGCATAATATTTCCACCACCATGCTGTGGAGATGGTGTTGGGTCATTCGCAGCATTTCAGTTCCTCCAAGAATCGCAGGTTGACTTTCTTTTGGTGTCATCTGACCACAGCACTTTCTCCCAAGCATTCTCTGAATCATTTAGATGTTCACTGGCAAAGTCAAGACCAGGACCCTGAAAGACCCTTCTTGAGCAGTAGAACATTTGCCGGCAGTGCAAGATTTCAAACCATTACAGTGTAGTGTGTTCTTGTTGACTGTGGTCCCAATTGCTTTCAAATCATTAACACACTCCTCTTGGGTAATTTTGGGTTGATCCACCACCTTTCACCACATTCTCATTATGTTGATGATCTTGTAGCTCATTCCAGCCTTTTGTAGGTCTAAAATCTTGTCCCTGACATCCCTTGACAGCCCTCTCGTCTTACCCACGCTGATAGAGAGGTTCGACAGAAGAAACTGATTGTGTGGACAGGCTTTAGACACATAAGAGTTAAGATCAGAATGATCTGTAATCGGCTGATTAATTATAATCTGTGTTTTACATGGGCAAACAGCCAATCTGTAGGAGCTGGAATTGAGAACAAATAGAGCAATAAGAGTAACAATAAGAGATTGCAAGGCTGTATAATTGTGCACAGGGATAGATGAAGAAAAGCAAGCCCCCCTCCAGGAGAGCTGAAATCCATCAACTCTACCAAGTCTACGCTGCAGGACTGGAAACTTTGAGTGCCCGTGCACTGCTGACGTTCCTCCACAAGGAGCAGAAGGAACTCACAGCAAATGAAGAAAAAGCAGAGAGTTTGATTGATAGATTTGAGATCAACGAGACAGGTGAGTAAAGGGAGAAATGTGGACAATGTCTTTGGCCTTGCTGTTCATCATCATGGGAAAAAATACTCTATTCTTTGGTGTTGTCACGTAAGGATGCTAATTTAGTTGTAAGAGAATTTAAAGGCTGTGATGCCTGGCTGGCAAAATGAAAGAAGGAAAGAAAAACAAATGGAAGAGTAAGGCACATCAGCCTCAGGCTAATGGACCTGGCTAATGGATGTTCTCCAATGTATTGTGGGCTAATTCACACCAACACAAACAGCAAAACAGAGAAGATAAAAGATTTACAACTAGTCTGTGCCATTAATACACAGAAGCCAGGGCTGTCCAAATTAATCAAATTTTAATTTCAGTTAGACTTTTGTCTTTCACTAATTATCAGAACAAGAGCTGTCGAAACACATACTTTTAGTTTACTAACGTTGAGTTGAGTTCAGTTTTTTAAAATGATTTTGGTGTTACTTCTTCTGAATTATTATTAAGTTCAAGTAAATCAAGTTTCCAGACCTCCATTCTAATTGTACAAGCACAACAAAACTGCAAACATGCCAACTGTGGTGTGAAACATTAAAAACAGTAAATAGGTTTTAAAAGTCCTTCCACTTTATTTCAAAGATATATTTCTGCTCTTTTTAAAGTGTAATAAACCCACTGTTTTACCGAAGTTTGAGAGTAATTGAATTAAATAAGATTGTCCAATGATGTTCATACAGATTTGCGTCATAATTAAGGATCCCTAACAGAAGACCTCACTTTCTACCATTCTTTGCATAAACAAATGTGCTCATGTTTTTCTTTTTCTGCACTTGCATGAAAACTGTATCACACATTTCTCTCAACAAACTCAGTTATTGCAATTTAAAAAAAACAACGTATTAAATCATGCCATAGTTGGTGATTTTATTCAAAATAAATCAGAAAATCATCCAAACTGCTAAATGTAAAAGCAGATACAGTTGGTATGAACCATCAGCAGTGTAGTCAGTAAAATCAACCGTTTTCACAGCAGACAGTTTGTCACAGCAGGGAGAGCTCTGATGGTGGTGAAAGATATTTTATTAATGAAGTTAGACATGGCACTGAATCAGCTTACACAATACCAGGAACCCACAGCTGGTTCACCCAAATCTTTTTTAATTTAATGTCAGATTTCTTTCCATTAAATTCATCATTTGAGCTGACTGTTCAGCTGCATGAGTTTTATTCCCACCTCAGACTAAAGACAATTACAGTACACTTGTGACATCACAATTCATTACCAGCAGAAACTTCACAGAGGCTACATCATGGCTCTGGAGACGCTCCACTGGTCAGTCCTCTGCTGGATTCTAATTTCAAATTTCTAAACAGCTATTTGATGGACTGTCACGAAATTTCACCCAGCTACTTGTGGCTGTAGGAGGATGACTTATAATGACTTTAGTGATTCCCTAACTTTATTATCTAGCATGATCATCAAAGAGGTTTATGAATGGTTTATGAATATCTATAACACACCAGCCGTAACTCTACCAGAGATGTTATAAGAAGGACTATTGTTTTACTATTAAAGTAACGTGGTATAGATAGAAATTAAATGCAGTTATCTGGCTTGATTGTAGATGCTGTTCTTCTTCTTTTTTTAATCCTTAAAGATGAAATTTAAGTCTTCTCAATTCCTCCTCTTCCAGCCAGAGAAAACAGCTCAATGACCTTTGAAGGGTTCCTCAGGTACATGGAGTCCAAAGAGTGCTGTGTGTTCAACCAGGCCCACACATCAGTGTACCAGGACATGGACCAGCCTCTTACCAGCTATTTCATCTCCACATCACACAACACCTACCTGACCGGAGATCAGCTAGTAGGGCAAAGTAGCCTGGATGCCTATGTTAGGTAGGGAAGCAATGTTTACATACAGTGTTCCTCTTCACTTAGCAGTATTTTAAAAAGCCTCGCCCAATGCCAGAGGGAGTACTGTGAATATGTTTTAAGGCACTGAAGTTAAATTGAGAATGCTTTGAACAGATTATATCATAAATAGGTTTTAGTGGATAAGTTGAGTATGCTATACCAAGCACAGCAAATGGAAACAACCCCCCCCACACACACACACACACACACACACACACACACACAAATATAATCAATGTTTGGTGTATCCAACCTTTGCTTTTAAGTTTCAGTGCCCTCTGTCTCTTCATATAATCCAAGACTGACTCTATGAAATGGAGATCAGGGTTCTGTGGGAGATATATCAACAGTTCTTAGACTCTTTGTTCTTCTTGCCTCTGAAGATAGTTTTTTTATGATTCCTGGTGTATTTGCTGCCTGTATATAAAAGATGGATGTAGTCAATATGACCTTACCCATCGGTTTCTTAATTCTGACTCATCTTTTTGGCCTTCTCCATGTTATTTTTGTATATTTATTTTTTTTGGAGCCAGAAGTGAGCTACTTTAAATGAGAAGAATAGAGTTCTAAGTTATCAGCTAAGGCTTCCAAGCTTGGTTAGCAAACTGTATTCATAAACTGCATGGCTCCATTGCACAGACACACATTCTTTGACAGGTTGTACCACATACTAAGCACTACAGCTTTTCCTTCCCACTGTCAACAAGTACTTGCTCATAGGAGGTCTTCTGATTGTCTGGTGTTTTTTCTCATTTATTTTAGGGTTTTAACCTTACACTATAAAGTACCTTGTGGTGCCTGTTGTTGCATTGCACAGAATCGACTAGTTGTTGTATATGTGCCTTTTCAAACATGTGTTGCCAACAGAGAAGTTGCCGAGTGCCCTCTTGTAGACAAATGATCTAACGTCATAACCCAAAACATAGTTGAAGGGTGTTTTTTACTTCTAAAATTTTTACTTTTCGGTGCTACAAATGCCTTTAGTGACAAGAAATAGCAAACGTCATATAATAAATAATCTATAGATTGTAACATTTTTGCACAACCCATTTATATGTAAAATTATGCCAATACTGGTGAAAGTCTACTTGCAAATTAGCAAATTTAACCAGTAAAATATTATGACAAATAAAAAAATCTTTTTAAAAAAAGCAAAATAGCAGAACACAAAAAATGGCTGCAATGAAGCTCTAAATGCCCTACAACACAACATTAGTCTCCTTCTCCAGGCCTACATGTTTGTCATTTGGATTCTCTTTTGCGCTCTGGTTTCATTGACCCAGTCCTGTGCTGAGGCAGACAGTGAAATTGCTGTGGTGCCTTTATGGGACAATGGAGGTGATTACAAAAGAGGCTGATGGAAGCAGAAGTGCTGTATTTATGGTTCCAGTGAAAGTGCTGAGTTCCCTGGCTGACTGGTAGAGCGAACCCTTCAACCCAGCGGCCCGAGAGCTCTGGTTTACTTAGATAATGATGCAATGATCTTGAGAGGAAAGCAAACTGGCAGGAACAGCAAGCTGCTTTATAGAAATCCCACTAGCTCACAGGTGGGAGAGGGATGAAAATAACATGAAGTGAATGTATACTAGTTACGAGGAATGCATCAAAAATACTAAAATATGCACCCTGGTACTTGTTAAAATGAAGATTGCGTAACTGTGGCTGTGTATGTATCACATTAACTCTCACTTCAAAAACTGTGATATGAGATAATTGTGTTAGGTAAATTGTAAAACATAATGTTGAGAACTGCACACTTCGGTCCCCTTTTTCCAGAAAAAGGTGACACTAGTTTTATTTCAAAGCATCAAAGCTAAAAAGATGAGCAAGCCTTCTTTGGAACTTAGCATTACAATAGAAGCTGAAGAAAAGAGTTAGCTTGGCTCTCTCAGAAGTTCAAAAATGCTTCTGAAGGCACTTGTAAAGATTTGTTTAAAAACGTGTATTTTCACCCAAAACCACTAATGTACTAATGGTCAGTATTTGTAGTCAGCTAGCAATCTGTCAGTGACTGAGACTTATTTTTATAAGTGTGTGAATGGCCTTTGATCGACTTTTTGCACTGCTGACTTCAACCTGCCAGAAAACCCGTATTTATGCAATCTTGTTTGTGTCTCTGTTTCAAGTTTTAGCTGGGCATGTTGTAACTGACTCAGAGCACTATAGTGCAGGTTACCCGATACCGAATGTGAGCACAGATACTTGTGAAGGCATGATGACATCACACCTGGAAAGACTATTTTACTGTCTGCTGTAACTCACCCAAAGAAAGCAAAAGACTGACAGTGTGATACTATGAACTTTGCCTGCAATAACAGAGCCACATTTAACACTTATGTGACATTTTATTACTACAAAGAAAAGCACTTGAAAGCTTACACAGACTTCAGCTGTTTTGCATGCGCCAGGCTCCATTTAAAACACAAATAACTTCTAGACAAGCATTGATTGAAAATGTCTGGAGAAAAAGGCGGATATAAGTGTGTGTCAGTGTTGCATGAAAAAAATATTATAAGCAAAGTGGTTATTTGCCCCAACCTCTTTGTGAAAGTTTTTCTTCCTCCACCGTCAGAAAGCAATCTTGTATAAGATACAGTCTGTACACGTGTGTGCTTCTGTCTGGAACAGTGCTCTGAGGAAAGGCTGTCGCTGCCTGGAGATTGACTGCTGGGATGGGCCAGACACGGAGCCCGTAGTTTACCATGGCCACACCCTCACCAGCAAGATACTTTTTAAGGATGTCATCACCACTGTGGGGCAGCACGCCTTTGAGGTAACAGCATGTAGTTTGTTACATGATTACTGCTTCTGGCGTAGCAGCCAGCTCACTCACTCTTGCCTCTGCGGGCGCCAAGAGACCCTACCGAGCAGCATTTGCTCTCATTAATAACCTCTCTTGCCTTCAAACTGCCTTTGATTTAGCATTTCAGGCCATTCTCTGTGATGTACGACCATACAGAGAGAACAGTCAAGTTGCTGGTAATAGGGTCTAAACGTTCTTTTTTTCTTTCTGGTTTGGATTTTTATTGACAGGTGTCTGCTTATCCAGTGATTCTGTCTTTGGAAAACCATTGCTCCCGGGAGCAGCAGGAGGTCATGGCCGAGTATCTTATCTCTATCCTGGGGGAAAACCTGCTGATAGCTCCCTTGGATCGCCCAACTGCGGGAGACCTCCCAAGTCCAAATGTAAGACTCAGAAGATGTGAGAATTAGGCTGTGTGAGTAGCAAAACAAAGAAAGAAAGGAGATGAATCTGTGTTTAACAGTAGAACAGCTGTTGCAAGCGGAAGAATGATGGTGTTTGCACCTGTAAATCCTCATTGTATGCCAGAGCAAAACAAAACAAGAACAAAGTGAGACCTTTTCATCGTCACAAAGGGCCTCATTAGTCTCCCTTCCTAGGCTTCCCAGGCTCCCTGTCCTCCGCAATCATGTGGGGTAAATGGACATCTGCATTTGCAAGCCTCTTTAATCTCAGAGAGTCACAAATCTAACGTAACGTAGTAGACCCTGATAAGTGTCCATCACTTTGAGACTGTTGAGGCACTCGAGCCGACTTCTCCTTTGAAAGCATCTGTCACAGCTCAATATGAAGTGACCAGTATGAAAGACAATGAGACTGCAGTATACTGACTATGACGAGGAGGATAAAGGCTTTGTGGATGAATGTGTGCAGTCTCATGAGAATCTCTTTGGTACTTCTGATTTCTGCTGCAAAAATGAGCTGTGCTCTATCCTTGGAGCACATATTCTCCATATCATTTTTACCTTTATGACTTTGGAAGTAGCAGGCTTACGTAGGAGCCTCAGCTCTAACGGTTTCATCTTGACTATTAACCCCTGCAGCAGGGACAGTTTTCATGTTTTAAAATTATGCAGCTTCACACATGCTCAAGTTACTATCTAATTATAAAAGTGGAACCAATCTGTAGTTTTCAGGATTCCCTCATTACTCCTACTAGTTACATCAAAGGGTTTTAAAGCTGTTTACACAACTTTTTCTAAGCTGTGGAAAAGATGGAAAAGCCAGTTGTCTTGGCTCAGTTTTCAATTATCCAGAGTTATTGTGGGATTAGAAATAAGCCACAGTTAATTAACATGTTATTACACCACTTTATTCTATTTTTACTGTCAGTGTGAGGTGAAACCCCCCTCAAGAACCAATTATTCTTTCCTAAAGTGCATCAACATAAGCAAAGCCTCAATTTTAGCTCTGCAGACTATATAATTTTGTGTACAAGTGATGGAAATTTCAAGAAGTGAAGGGACCAAGTGAAATTATGAAGCTTGTAATTTTTAGACCATATGGTCTCTTACAAGTTGTTAATGCTGGCATATCTGTAATTAGTTTGAATAATTTGCCTGTGCATACAGCATGCATTGACACTCACTTAACGTGGAGCTTCCTCCAGACCATGTTTCTTCTTCTTTTTTTCTTTTTTTTTGGCTTTTAGCATATTGCTGCTCATTGGAAAAGAGAGCCCTTTAAAGTACTAACAGATATGGAGTCCGGACGGTGAAATGCAGGAGCAGATGTTCGATTCGGTGATTTGATACACCTGCTGCTTCTCTTGCTTTTCTTCTTATCTGCTCTAACTGTGTGTATGTACTGTATGCCCCGCTGTGGATGTGACTCTTTGAAGAACAGCGTCTTTGTGGCAGACCATAGCGGTGGGAGTGGGGTGGTTTGTGCAACAACAACAAAAAAACAAAAAAAAAAAAAAAAATTTGGTGTATGTGCCCAAAGTTTGAAGATGCAGAAACAGTTTGGCTGATGCAAATATGTGGCGTGTTTTAAAAGTGCTGTGTGGATGTTAGTTCGCATTCATTCATGTGTGACTTGATCCTGTGGAGGATTGCCAGGACCTGAAGTATAAGATCCTCATCAAGAATAAAAAGCTCAAGCGTCAGATTGAGACAGAGGATGCTGCAGAGGGAGAGGAGAGTGCAAATGAGGGTGAGGAGGAGGAGGATGAGGAGGAAGAGGATCATCAAACAAAAGCAAAGTTCTGGTCTCCCAGAAAGGCAGGGTCAAAGAAGAAAGTAAGTCAGGGTGTTTTTGTTTTTATTTTATTTTTTCCAGTCAGCTTAAAAAAGAAAAAAGAAATCATCTACAAAAAATAATGTTTGAAATGTAAAGGTAAAGGCATTTTGCATGAGGGCAAAAAGGCATAGCTTTCAACCTGGAACTGTTACTGGAACTTCAATGGTGTTTTTTGTTTGTCTCTTCTGTCCTTAATGCATTGAGTAGAAGAAGAAGGTGGTGGTAGCTGAGGCTTTGTCTGACCTTGTTATATACACAAGGTCTGTCAAGTTCATCAGTTTTAGTCACTCCAGGGACAATCAAAACTGTTATGAGAACACATCTATGGAAGAGAAGAAGGCTTGCAAGCTACTCAAAGCTTCAGGTAGAGTCATTTATTGATTTGAAATCATTAAACAGGAGAAGTAGGATTTATAGATTAAAGTAATAAAGGATGCGTATTTGTAATTGTGAATGTTACAAAATATTATTCGGGTGATCCCAGCAGATTTCTCTTGATTTATCATCCCACTTTTGCAAAGTGCTCAGTGTGCATAATTACATTTCTCATCCAGGAGTCTTCGGATGGAAAATGCAATTACAGTATACTGGCTATAAATTCCCAGAACAGCAAAGGCATATTGAACATGACATATACGTTAGAAGGAAGTAATTTTAAGGAATAAAGCATGACAACAAAAACCCAGAAATGTGACTCGTACTTTCATTGCTGGGGAAGTGAAAAGAGCCCTCAGAGGTTCAAATCAGCGGATAATCAGTTAAAGTGTCAGCACGCCGCTAAGCCGCAGCATACTGGAGAAACAAAGTGATAAAGAGAAATGAAATCTGTTTCCTGCTGAGGAGGACTGACACTTTTCCACACATACAGCTACATTATGAGCTGGTTGACTTGGGTGTCAGCAACCATGAGCAGTCTCTGCAAATCTAGCTCAAAAGCGTGGTGGTTTTGACAATCTCTGCAGGAAAATCAAACAGCTACTGTGTTAAAGATAATGTATAGACTGAAGCTGTGTGCCATGCTTTTCAGTCCTCAGAAGGAGGAAAATTATACATGGATCAAAATGTAATTTCTTGAGACATTATCTTCCCTTTTTTTACATTAAACAGTATAGCGATTCACTTTCTGCAATGTTTTACAATCGCAATTCTTTATATTTGAATAAAAACAACACATTAAGGTTGACAAAACCAAAAGCTTGAGCTGTAGTGTAATGAATTTTAATCATTCCAATGAGAAATAGTGGGATATGTCTATAATCTGCTCAGGACAAATCAAATCCCTACAGATAATGTGTCATGTGGTTCCATTAAACAAATCAACAGCTGTCAAGTCTTAATCGGCATTCTGATTAATGTGACCATTGTCATTGATGCATTGTTTGTCCCGTCTCTCTTTCAGGTTCGGATTTTGTTGAACACAACCAGAAGTTCCTCAGTAGGATTTATCCAACGGGCTTGAGGATGTCTTCCTCAAACTATAAACCTGTGGAATTTTGGAATGTCGGTTCTCAGCTCGGTGAGTTGGAAGACTCACATGGAATACTCAGATACTCGCTCATTATGTACACAAAAGATATTTTAGTCAGACAGCTCCCATTTGAAATGGCTGATTCGTTACAGCAGCAAAGCAGAGTCAGAGTTTGACGTCTGAACTCACGAATGCGTTACAGTAGAGATACTGGGCAGTGATGAGCTAACATCCCCTGTAGCCTATAGGTGGATGCTACAGGCCAGAGGTTGCAGATGGGAGATCTTGCATAAAGATTTCTTTTTTTTTCATCTTAAATAGGGGCAACTGGTTTGTTATGTGGAATTACTAAAGTGATTGTATATACTCTACACATGCACATTCCTATTTGTTTAGAGATTCTGAGATTCATTTAGTTTAGAAAAATTTTCCAAGTGCATGCAGTGTTATCTATTATGCAGTTAAGAAGGCTGCCAGAATTATGGAAATATTTAGAAAGCAGTTAATTAATTAGACCAATCCAATTACAGAAATGAATAGGGCATAAATAATAGATGTTTCCCAAACAGTTTAATTTCAGAATAATTAAAGACACCAAGGCTATGTTCACACTGCAAGCGAAAGTGCATCAAATCCGACTTTTTTTGACCCTATGCGACCCATATCTGATCATGGTATGACAGTGTGAACAGAACAAATCCGATATTTTCAAATCCGACCTGGGTCACTTTCGTATGTGGTACTGAATCCGATACATATCTGATGTTTTAGAAAGCGACTGCTGTTTGAATGGTCATGTCGCATTAAAGATAAGACATCGCGAACGTTTCCTGGCCATCCCGTGTAGATGTTAGTGAAACTGTTGGGAAGACAACGTTGGAGAAACGTGAACATTTTATTTGTACTGTATAATCTGCAGATTCTGACAGAAATCTGCAACTATCCTTTGAAGCACCGCTCCTCTAAAACAGCAATAAGGATGATTATTAGGCCATATGTCAATAACAAAATAACTTTATAACTTAAAGCAAAATCGGGAAACGTAAAGTCCAAAACAAGTCTTTACATTAAGGGCCATCAGTCAAACAATACTGTGTGGTCTGGGTCTAAACAGAGCGCGTTGTGTGTGACGTCTTCTTTTGCGCATGCGGGACGCTTTGAGCGTTCACACTAGAGCGCGTTTGCTGTCACATTTTATTTGTAGTGTGAACAAGCAGACAAAAAAAATCGGATTTGATCCAAAAATCGTAATTGAGCATTAAGACCTGCAGTGTGAACGTAGCCTAATTCAGCAACTAAGTATTTATTGATATCTTAATGGGCAATAAAAAAAGATCACATATAATAAGAGGAGTTAATGACTCTTAATGAAATAACCACTGCTTTGCTCTCACTTATGTTCCTTTGAGCGAAACCCTAAAAGTATCAATTTTGATGTGTGAAACTATTTTTTCCCCCCACTGTGTCAACAGGAAAGAAAATACCTTTGACACAAACAAACAAACTGCTTTTTTACTTCGGTCCACTATGAACTCTTGAGATGAAGAAAACTGCAGCCCAGAAGACCGACTGTCAAACTTTAAAGGGAACAACCTGGCCCAGTGTCCTGTCGATTACCTGTGAAAAGAACATTTCATTCCAATCTACAGCCTGACTGCTTCATCTGTGTTTTCCCCCAGAGCAAGTCCTCTCCCGGCCGTTATCACATCTTTTTCAAATCGATTTGCACCCCACTAAATGCCCCCTTTCTTTAAATTACAGCTGGCTTTCGGTCAGAGCTTTTTTTTTTCCCCTCCATATGACATACCTGTCCTCCCCGAGTAACTATGCATTAGTGCATGACTCATCCTTGAGGTAATCTCCGTAAACAGGTTCTTGGCAAAGGACGATATTTGCAACACTCTAAGCATTCTGGTTTTCGTTTGCAGTCTTTTTGCAGTCCAAACAGCATTGACCAATCACATTGGAGAAAGCTTTGGTTCCATGCAGGTTGTGAGTGCAAAATGGGGATTGCATTTGTCAAATTGCAATTTTGACGCCAACGGTTTTTGTCTGGTGACGAGTTCTTTAAAATGTAAATGCATTTGTAAGCAATGATTGGGGAACTTTGGCCCGGATATTAGAGAACTATGCCCAAATGCCCCGAGACATTGTCCCCAGAGCTAAGTTGTTGGATTGCAAATCATGCATTTCCAGATTTTGTTATGGTCGGTTTCCATTAGTTTCTTAGGCATTCTTAGAGTTGTTTTTGCCACTGCCTTCTGCATTCCTTTGTCTCTGTCATCATTACTGTCTTGTTGCTTGGTGTTTTTTTTTTTTTTTTGCGTTCTTTCTGTTTCATATTTACATTGTTTTTTCTAATGACCTTGTTTTGGTTTTAATTCCTGTTCATTGGTTATTACCTTCCCTATCCTCAAACACAGGGATTCACCTGTGTTTGATTGTGTCCATCTGTGTCTCATTCCAACATGGGTCTCATTCCTAATACGCCCTCTGTGTAAATATAGGCTTGTCTTTCCCTTTGTACTTGTTCCTTCTTCCTCATCTCTGTCCCCAGTGCGTGCCTGTTTGAAATTTCGTCACCTTTTGGACCCGGTTTTATCAGCTCTTTCGATAAAGCTCGCTCTTTGCATTTCCTTTGAACATGTGCATCTGCATTCAGGCCTTAAGCTCTGTTTAAAAATGTAACAGATTGCCTATGAGGTTAAAGTCACAAGCCTTATCTGTCTGACACTGTCTTTGCCAGTGTTCCTGTCACTCTGTCTTAACACATACTCTTCATACATCTTCATCAGTCAGCCAGTCAGTCACTGACTCTGACATGTAGCCTCGCTGATCGCTGAGCCGTGCAGATGGTGATCAAAGCTGCAGGAGTCTGCGGAACAAAGCAGTAGCCTAGAAGGATCAATTGCTGTTAGATGAGCAGAAGATCCACAGGGCTTCGGCAACACACGGGGAGAGCACAGAAAGAGAAGCTGAAGGCTGCAGAGCAACATGGGGGTTCACACCGAATTGTTTCTTTGCATTATTTATATACGTTATTCAACCCTCATCAATGATTTCTGTCCAGCCAGAGAGAGACTTAATCTGGCACTCTATTCTGATGCCTGAAATCTGTAGTCACTGATGATGTGTGCAGTGCACATGCCAAAACATAACTGTGCACAGCAGAACAGCCCACTGTGCATTCAGTCATTGCACAGTTGGTAATTGTGAATGACTCCCTGATGCAATGAAAGCCATTGTTGCAGAAACATTTCAAGTCATTGTATAATTTAACTCTCTCCTGCAGAATGAAAATGAGCTTTAGAAAACAGAAGGTTTGCAGGGATCATCTCAAGCTGGTTGTTTTATCTAACAAGCTTTAGGCATTTGCAATTTTTGCTCCACTGTGTTGTGTCTCCTTGTTTCATTGTTCAGAGACTGTCCTGTGGTGTTTTGCAGTGGCACTCAATTTCCAGTCTCCGGGCTTGCCTATGGACCTTAATGATGGACTTTTCCAGGACAACGGGGGTTGTGGCTACGTCCTAAAGCCGGCGGTTCTCATGTCCACCCAGATGCGCTTCGATCCCAACAGCAGCCACCACAAGCGTAAATCAACATACCTGCTGCTCAAGGTACACCTATGGAGCACTAGACCCTGAATAATCCACTCATGGTGCATTTATGGATTAAGGTGTAACGTTACCGGACTGTCTGTGGGTATGTGTGCCTCACGTGCATGTATAAGTGTGGATATCCCTCACAATGTAGGGCACTGTGAAGCAGAGCTCATCTTATTCCTTGCACTTCTTGCCTGCAGTTAAATACTTTCCTGCCGGATGCTCTGAACCAACAATGATGTAAAACTCCCCAAGAGTGTCTGTTTAATTAGATTATCTCCTTTAGAAAATTAGGAAAAGAGAGACAGGAGTGATCTAATGCAATTAGACCTGGGGTCCAATTAATAAATCATCTCTCCTTCATTATTTTAAGCAACTTGGGGGACAGTAATAGCAGCACTTGTAATGTACAAAGCCACACAGCAAAAGTGAAAGAAGCTGCCGAAAAAGCACAGTCACATATCTTTTTCTGAGCTCATAAGGAGAACTGTCACGATTTGATCTTATGAGAAGAGATTTGAGAGATATCGAGGTTTTGTACTGCTGAAACAGCATGGGGAACAGTGCGGGATCACATGAAGTAAAGGCAGAGGAGGGAACATCATTATGTTGATATCAGTTTCATGATCGATCATAAGGCGTATAAAAATAAAAACATTCTTTAAAGCTTATATCAACTAAACTAAAAGCGCAAACAACAATGAAACAATCTAGTCACATAGGCTTGAGATGTCCATTCATCCCTATTAAACCTTTGTAGCACTGAACAAAAAGCCCCCTTTATCTGCAGAAACACTAGACTAGCACTAGTATACAATACCATCGGTCCATCCTCTTCCGCTTATCCAATTCAGGGTCGCAAAGGGACTGAAGCTTATCTCGGCTGCCTTAGGGCAAGAGGTAGGGCCCACACCCCGGACTGCTTGCCAGTCTGTTGAAGGGCTAACATAGAGCGACAAACAATCATTCACACTCACATTCACACTTATGTGCAATTTAAAATCACCAATTAACCTAACACTACTAACTGTATGTGTTTGGAGTTTGGGACTGGACTTACGCAGAGACGGGAAGAACATGCAAACTGCAAACTCAACACACAAAAGCCCGTCCAGATGCCGGATTCAGACTCAGGACATTGTTGCTGTGAGGCAACAGTGCTAGCTACCATGCCACCGTGCTGCCAAGAAGTATTTTATACTAGTATACTTATTGGCAAATTCTTTCAATACCTGATTTTAAATGTGCAAAATGCCTGACGACCATAAGCCTGCAACTATTGAAGTTTTGTTCAGCTTCAGCTGTGCAAAGAATTTTTTTAGCGAAAGGAGTCACCACAGTAAACATTACCTACTGTAACCCTAAAGTGGCATGTTAGCGCTAGCATTTGACACATGCTAAAGTTAGCATGTAGAATGTATCAGTACACTTTCACACCATAACCAGCATGGCTTTATATGCAAAGTGTTGCTTTTCTTTCTTTTCTTTTTTATTTGTTGCTAAAACAACAACCACGGATATTATGGATTGGTGTGAATATTAGACCCACGTAGAAGTGATTGGTTGTCAAAGGTGATTGGAATTCAGATCCAACTTTTAGGAAGGATTTAATATTTGACACCTTGCATCATATTTTTGAGTATAATTTTCTGCATCCAGGGACTCCATTTATGCATGGTATAGAGGAAGTTTTCAGCCTTGGCTGAGTTATGCAGTCTTTAACTTATTATTATTTTATGTTTCTGAATAGAATATCTGTTAAACTCCTGTTACATCGCTTTTGTAAATCTTTGAAAATCTGTGTAAATCTTACATCTGACAAAGAAAATGCTTCTTGGTCAGACAGTGTTTTACAAGGACATGCTCAAGTTAAACAAATGCATGTCAGACATTGTCTTCTAATAGAATATGCACAACAACACACATCACGATGCATAAATATGAATGTTGCGTGCTTGTGTTTTAGTGTGCCCAGGGCCCCGCCTTTATTTATTCACATCATCGCTCTGTATTATTCGATAACTTCGGGGAAAATCCCGCAATCTCAACACAGCCCTCAACTCAGTGAATCAGACTCATGAGTAGCAGACGGTGTTGTAACTTAGGTAGGAGTGTTTGGGTTTTCAATCTTCAATCTCAGCATTAAATTATTCATCTGTTCAGGAAAACAATATTTCCCCTTGAGCTTTTGCAAGAGTTTTTAGCATAAAACTGTCAAGTATGTGCAAAAGGTTTATTTAATGATGACTCCAACCTGCTAGCTATGAACTCACAAGTAGGGACCATTGTGACTGTGAAGTATCAGAACCTTTGTGGTTTTGTAGCGTGACTACAGAAGAGGAAAGGGACTGTAATTCTAGGCTGGACACTGTAAGGCTACATCAGTGCCAAGCAGGGCATGTCGTGATAAGTACATGCAGGTTTGTCTTTGATCAGGGCCAGTGAGGGAAAGCTCAGTGTGAGACGACTGCAGATAAGCCTGCCTTTCTCCAGACTAGTGTAATTACAAACCCTCCCTCCTCTTCTCTACTGTTTTCTTCTTACTGATTTTTGATTCTTACTGATTCTTACTGTTTCTGAGATTCTCACTAATCATTTACTTAAATTTACTGTATACCTCTGTGTGTGTTTGTCCACAGGTGATCAGTGGGTCCAACCTACCCCTACCCAGGAGTGGAAAAGCTCTGGACCCCTTTGTGAGAGTGGAGATTCATGGGATTGCATCAGACTCCTGCAGAAAAAACACACATACTGTCAAAAACAATTGTAGGTGGCACAACACAAACTGCGCATATCACAACGTACCAAGACACAGCAATCTGTTCTCCATTATGTTAGATCTAGCTTCACTTTGATCAGTTCAAGTTGTGTTTTGTCAGAATTAACTCTAGATCATTGACACTCAGCTTTCAAGAAAGTAGGAAGGACGGATTTCATGTGTGTATTTGTACATGGGAGTGAGATGAGACAAGGAGGGAGAGAAGGAGGAAACAGAGTACCAGACGTAGCACTAGAGTGAATACATCTGGTACTCTGTTATGATGTGCATATGAACATTAATCATATAGTCATCTAATAAAACAGGTAAGGTGAATACAAATGTCATTTTGGATTGAGAAACTTGATCAAATTGTTTAAAAGAATTCAGCAAACCCTTTAAAATCCAGTCAACACTGGTCATGTGCTGTCATCTGTGAGTCTGTTGATTGCTGGTCAGTTATCCCAACAGCTTTTAAATTCACTGTTAGATCAAGTGTTTGTGTTTTTTGTGGTCGCTCACCTTAGTGAGCTACAGAGCACTGCAGTGAAAATGGTTGAAAGTCCAGTCAACACTTTTCTGCAACATTAGCTTGCTAACTGCAACAGAAACTTGAAATGTTGCTTGGCATTTGACATTGAGGTCTTTGCAGGCGACAGCCACTTTATGTTTAGCTTGCACACATTGCACTGGGCACAGGTAAAGTTAAAATGATGGCAGGATTGTCAGGAATGGAAGGCTGTTTTGGAGGGACTACTGCTTGGTAAACCATCTAAAAGGTAGTTTCTCCCTGCTTCACAGTGAGGCATAGTTGGGCAGAATTGATAAATAGTATTAAATATTATAGAAACATGCTCAGAAAATGGAACATGTGCAAAATTGGAAATATACTATTTATACGGCAAGAAGAGTGTACATTTCTAATGAACTTAAAAGTCAGTATTTGGTATAAACTCCTGAATTTTTCAGGACAGCCTGAACTCTCTTAGGCAACGTTTCTTGTCATTTCTCTAAGTAGTCTTCAAGAATAGTTCTAAAGGCTTCTTGAGGGACATTCAACGCTCTTCTTTGGATGCTGGCTGCCTTTTATTCTGTTCTGTCAAGATGATCCCATACTCATACTCTAGAGAGGTCATTGCGTGTTCTGCTACTCAGGTACGCTTTTATTGTATTGGCAGCATGTTTGGGATTGTTGAAATGCTAAACAATAAGGCTATTTTCAATCAGATTCTTTCCAGATGATCAAAATTTCAAAATCTTTGAGAACTATTGCTCAAGACTACTTTAACAAAAAGACAAGAAAGTATGGCTCTTTGGAACAAAATGTAGAGAAATAGGGGGTGTTTCGACAATATTGCGCAGTACTGTATTTGTTAATTTACCACTTGGTTGATCAGCAGCTTGGCAGAGTGGTAAGAGCGGTTTGTACCTGCAAAAATACTGGCACGGTAGCATTGTTATTCTTATTGTGACATCTGCATTTGTTTCAAAGCAGCAAGTGAAAGCGATTAACTCAGGTTGAACAATAAGCTGAATTAACGGTAACTTTACTTTTTGCACAGGTTGTCAGCGTGTATTAGCGTCAGAGCACTCAAGATGAGCTCAGGCGGTGTGTAATTTCAAAAGCTGGTGACAACTTTAATACCACCTCCTGAAACAAGTATTTTAACGCGTAGCTACACTTTTGACAATAATTTCATGATAAAGTAAAAGTCAAGTTTGTAATATTTTGAGCTCGCCTGAAGACAGCTGGAACAAGCTGAGAACCCAACAGTGTCATATTATCACCCCATAAAACAGAGCTTGTTTACTTGTTATTTATCTGCCACTGTACATTAGAATTCATTTGAAGTTGTGTTTCTGGCCTCCAGGTGAATATAAATCACATACTCTGCCTTTGAAATCTGCTTTTGGGCTCCACTAACTTATGACAAAAATATATTTACAGGCTCCAAAATGCTTTCCTATGTTCATTAGCTAACCACTTTTCTTTGTCTGTCCTAAGTTTTAGCAGACTTCAGTGGATATGTAGAGCCGTTTTATTCAAATGATGTAAGACTGGTTAAAGTCAAAGCCCAAAACCATAAATTATATACCGAAAACAATGATCTTTGTAGGCAGGTGATAAATTTCTCTGTGTTCATCATTACAGTTGACGTCTTTCACATAGAGGTAGCGGTGTGATCCAGTGTTTGATCCAAAAATGTTAATTAGCACCTCAAAGAAACATTAACTGACTCTAATGAAGTTGTTAATTCTGTTCTAGCTCTGAGTCCTCGCTGGGATACTGACATGTCCTTCACGATTCGCTTGCCTGAACTGTGCCTCGTTCGCTTCTGTGTCAGAGATCAGACCGGCATTCTCAGCAGTGAGTTTGTAGGCCAGTACACCCTGCCCTTCAAGAGTCTGAAGAAAGGTGAGCCAGCAAGTGCTGGAAGGTAGAGGGTTGTAGGGCAGTCAGATGAAGGGCTAAATTACATCAGGTGACAATGTGGGGCATCATTGTATTTCCCCTAAATTTCCAGTGGTTTATCTGTGCTTCGGTTGAGTTTTTATGGAAATGATCCTGTATGACCATACGTACTGTTCTTTTCAAACCTCCAGGCTACAGGTGGGTGCCTCTCCAATCCAAAGACGGCTTCAGCCTGGATCCAGCCTCCCTATTCGTCTATATCTCGCATTCCTAAAAAACACATCTCCGTATCAGACTCTCTCACACGGCGACACAGGCACACACGCACACCTTGCCAGCAGATAGAGAAGCGTGGCTGATGTGGGAGCAGCAGCGGCAGCAACAATGAAAATATATAAATAAATCAAAAAGAACCATTTCCTCAGATATAAATACCACTTTTATTGTCAGAAAATAGAAGTGCATTTATTTTTCCCCACTGCCTGCAACTGAGTGCTGCAGAAGAAAAGACCAGGAGGCTCCAGTGAGTCTGAAAACACACATAATAGTTCTCTCCTTGCATCTCTAAAGTAATAGAGACATTCCTAGAGTAATGATTTTAGAGGAGTAGATTGATCTCTTTTCTTTTTTATGTGGTAAACTTGATTGCACATGCTGTATAAGGGTCTTGCACATCCACAACATTTTTTGTGGGGGAAGGAGGTATTTATCATTAATGATTAGAAAAACAATATATCAGGCCTGAAACGGATGTGTAGCGCCAGGATAAACTAATACTCCACGAGCACAGCTTTTAAAGAGTACCATCTTACAGCCCTACTTCCCTGTTAGAGACCCTTCAGGGAATAATATAAATACGATTCACAGAGGTATACATAATTTAACCAGATCCAGTTCAGGGAAGTCTATTTCTATCCTCTTTCGCCACTAAATCACTATGAATGAGGCAGAGGAAAGTATGGGTCAGCAGGCCTGTCAAGAGAAAGGACAGCATTAAGATAACACGAAGACCTGGTTGTGCCTTGAAAGTGTGCGCGTCTTATTTTTCTTTCTTTTTTTTTGTCATCATGTGATTGTCTGCCTTTGCGTGCACACGTGCTAAATCGGTGTTCAAATGCTCCTGATGGATAAGGCAAAAGGCTGGTGAGGGGGCGAGTGTTAACTCAGCCCCACGGGCCAAAAAGGCAGAGTTGTCATCCTGCTCACACGCTCTCCCTCACCCCCTCACGCCTCCAGTCCCACTGGTCAAGGACAGTGCAGCTGACGCAGCCTGAGGGGACAAACGCACTCAGGTAACAAACCGGCGGTGCTGCATCACCTCCTCTTTAATCTGTCGCGTCCACAGCCTCGGCAACGTACACGTTTACAAGGTCTGCTTTTTGCTCTCAGTAAAAACAAAGTCAAGTGCAAACGAAAGTGCCACAGTGATTAAAAAATACGTTTTCTTCATCCATCACCAAAGTAACATTAGAAAAACTAGTGAACAAAAGGCCTTCATTCGATAAAAATTTAGAAATAATAAATTCAGTGTCACACAGTAAACAGTCCGCTGTGTTCTTTCAGTCTGTTTTGTAACTTTATCCACACACTCCCATCTGGCAGTGTTTTCAAGTCTGGAATGGGATAAAGTTGCATCTGATAAATAGGTATAACTGGCATGCAGTTTTGTATACAGTGCATTCTTCCTCTTCTCAGGCATCTCCCTCTCAAATCCATGAATGTGGTCCCTCACTTGATGTGGTTGCACCCCCTGCTGGCAGTAAGCCTGCAGTGCAGCTCTGAGGTCAGATAGCAGAGTTTCCGAGAGGGAACCAGAGCTCCTGATTGAGCAACTTTTCGTCCAGTTTTATGTTAGTTGCAGCCACAAAAGCCTTCTTGCTCTTTACTACCACTTCCAGGACTATCCCATTCAGCTGTGTGACCGAAGTGTACTCCACCTGTGAGTAGGAAGGAGACACTTTAGTTACCTAGCTTAAGATGTGGTTTTATAATTCTAAATAAGAGTTTATAAGAGGCTATAAATTTGTGGGAATATGATGGTTAGTGGGTCAAAGATCATGTTGTAAATCAGACTGCAGCAGCACAGAAGGAACTCTCATTATAATGAAATATTCATACATTTAGTTATAAGTCAGAGTGAGAACAATTTATCTGAAGAAGTATTCAAAACACAAAGCAAAAGAAAAACAAACTTTTTTTTTCATCACAATTAACTGTACATGTGACAGCTAATGCATGATGACAAAATCCAGCTCAAGGGTTCAAGGATGCATCATCATATTAGGTGAAATTTGTGATTGTGGCTGTACTGCACAATTTCTTTTTTGTTGTTTTTTTAAACTAAGCACTTCAGTTTAGAAGTTTAAGTGAAAACAAATTACCCATGTGAAAGGCACGCAGACTAAAAGTATTAAGTACTATTAGCTGATTTTCCACTTGACGCTACTCAGTCGATCACATTTTTGGATTGCCTCAGATAGCTTGGAACCCCAGCCATATAGATATTAAAAAAAGCACCTGGTGCCACGTACTACCACCTAATGGAAAACCCAAAAACTTAGTGGAGCTGAGCCAAGCCAAGCCACTATGTACTAGTGGAAAAAGATTATAAATGTACAAGCTACCCTGTAATACAGCTAAGTACCAAAAGATGTCTTGACTGTGTCTAATCATGGATAGAGAGGAGGAATGATGGCACTACCAGTTCATTGAAGATGGGGTTGACATTATTGCGGACAATCTTTGTCTTCCTCTTGGAGCGCCTCCGAGGGTCTGGCCTCAGGTATGTGATAACATAGGCATCAGGGTTAGAACCGTTCGGGTGCTTCTGTTGAGGAGAGGCGAATGAACAGGAAGTCAGAGGAGAATGAGCACGTGCCACAAGTACACTCAGTCACATGATAGCAACTAATGCATTTTTGCAAACTGCTGAAGATTAAACTGAGCTTCAGAATGGGGACGAAAGGTGATTTAAGAGACTTTGAATGTGGGGTGGTTCTTGGTGCCTGATGGTAAATGACCTGGTTCTTATAAAGCACTTTTCTACTCTACCTCAAAACTCAAAGAACTTGCCTCATTCATACAAGCACTTTGTTTTATGGCTATCTAGCATTTACACTAGTTGTTTTCCGATGAATGGACCGGAAGGTTGGTGATTCGATCCACCATCCATCCAATTAGTAGATGACCGATTCTATCTCCCGAGCCACAGACAATCACTCAATCCAGACAGGAGTGTTTCACAGGCGCCAGATCTCAGTGCAGTCGAGCACTTTCGGGATGAGTGATTCACAACATGAAAGTGGATCTGTGTGACACTATCATGTCAACAGGACCAAAATGTCTGAGGATTATTTCCAGCACCTTGTTGAATCTATGTCATGAAGAATTAAGGAATTCTGAAGGCAAGACGGTCCAACCTCATACTAGTATGACTAAGTTAATGAGGTGAACCTGATGTAGTATCCAGTGAGTATATATCTGATATAGAACCCTAACTATACATGCTTTACTCTTGCTAAATGCTGCGGGACAGTAATAAGAATAAATGAAACTCACAATGTTCTTCAGGTGTTTTATCATTACAGAGAGCTTGTAGTTGACGTAAGTAATGTAAAGCTGGACCTGAGGCTGCTCTTCTGCAACAGATAATCACACAAGTGCAATTAGATCACAGCAAAGGAATTTCTTATAAATAAACTAATATCACACTTTTCTCAATATACCACGCAATCAACGCTCACATTCACATATTTTTTCCATTGTTCTTACCTGCACATTTTGGACCTCGGTTATGTCCTGGACCATCCAGAAACAAGCTGCAGACAAATTCATTCTGCGGGTGGCAAATTGAGATACTTTTCAAGTTCAGCTCTAATGGGGAAAACAGCTAATCACAAAGGACTACTAAAGCAGGGAAGAAACTCACTCCTTTGCAAGGTCCTTCAAAAAGCTCTTTTAGGTATTTATTCAGCAGAGACATCTTCCTGCCTGGGGTGAATGACATCTGGTACCAGCTCGGAAACCTTGGAAGCAAAGGAGTGGAAGCGAAGTCATGCATCTAATTATGTAATTACTATGAGAACGAGCTGTGCAACAAAATATAATACATGAGAGCAGGATTTATGTTAATTTATTCACTCACTGTGGTAGTGTTGATTCAATAAAGTGTTTCTGCAGCTCCCTATGGATCAGCTCAAACTGTCCAAATGTTTTCTCACTGGTCAGAAACCCATCGTCAATGGTTATCCTTAGGTCATAGAGCTGCAAATCAAACACAACCAATTATTACATTAGATAGAGACTACAGGAACTGTGTTAAAAGCTTCCAGGGAGATTGTTTTAGTAGCTTAAATCACTGCTCATATGCAAACTCCTTTATTTTCACTGCATTTTTGCAAACACCTGAATCCTTGATCCTTGCTGTTATTTCTACTATAGACTGAATGTGACTAGAAGAAGAAGCACTTGACATCAGGACAGCTCTTCGGATCAAAGAGTAGTAAATGCTTACAAATACTCCTCACCCAACCCTTGGGAAAGACTTTATAAGCACAAGACTGCCTTCTGACAAGCTGTAAGTGACAGCAAACAATCAAAAAAAAAAAGTGTGAATTCGCTGTCACTTCCAAGTGTTTTATTGCCTCCTCCAGCTATTTGGGCCTAATAAACAGCCCTTTAGTGCATCAGGTAAAATCTATTTTATAATGGTTTGTTTTGTTACTGAGGCCAAAGTGCAGTTGCAGGCTTACCACATCTTTTCCCTTGGCAGAGTATCCCAAAATGACAGCTTCCTGAATGTTACTAGCAGGAGCAGGAGCACTCTCCCGGGGCAGGGTGCCCTTTGTCTTGGGTTGAGCAATGTTGTGTGCCAGGAAGTTAAACTTGACTGCAACACAGTCCATACTCTCCTTGATCTTCCTAACACAGGTGTAACACAAACAGCAGAAATTAAATGCAAGTTTGTTTATTTGCGGAAGGATTATATGTATTCTTAGGAAGACGTTGCCACACACGTCACATTACTTTGTAAAGAAGGAGGTGGCCTCCAGATCAGTATCGTGAGGTCTGAGGTTGTTCTGGACGTACTGCAAGTCATTAGAGTCCTTCAGTTCTGGCATTCCTGCATGTAGCATCTGGAAATATACACAATGGGTAGAAACCTGTTTTACGGGATGTTTTCCGTTCTCAGACAGAGTTAAAAAGGGACTGTAATGTTATTTAGTCTTACAAGCTCCAACAAGCTGAGTATGAGTGCAGAACGCTGTCTGATTATGTTGTAAGCCTCACAGCAGAGCTCCACGAAGCGATGCAAGCGTTGAGGCTTCTGCCCTCCACCAGTGATGAAGTGGTGCATCTCAGATGTAAAGATGAAGGGAGACCGGTCCCTATTATTGAGCAGGAAAATGTTTTTTGTTGCTCATA